CATATGTGAGTATGCAAGGTTGCCAAGTCTGCGCTAGCATTTGAAATTCGACACCAGTTGGCAAAAATCAGCAGTTTTATGGACATACTGGAGCCAGTAAAAGGAGCAGCCATGAAGCACAAATATATAAGCAAAAGAAAGTACAATTTTAGTTTTACTCTAATATTGGGTGAAGCAGGGTAGAGGGGCTAACGTTAAGCTAACAATGCTAACAGTAGATAAGAAAAATTGTCGGCTCTAAAAAAAAATCTCAAGCCACTTTATCAGTTATCGGCAACTTGATATTACAGTGAGATATATTTATCTACTTATCAACTTTCTATTTATGACTCGCTTCTTACATTTTCTGGCACTGATTCATAACTGGCAACTGTTGCTCGGAGCTGACTTGTTTTGAAACATGGACTGCAGTACCCAAATCTGACCACAGGATGTCATACTTCATGCAACTTTGAATCATTAAAGCCTGTGTACCAAAACCACTCATTAGACTGGAGCACTCTGGGGTGCCGTGTGTACATTAATGAGGAAAAAATGAATTTCATTGATATTAGCAAATGGCTGCAATCTAACAAAGAGTTAAAAACTGACGTGGGTCTGAATACTTTCCGTACCCACTGTGTAGACAAATCTCATGGGTCATGGGGCAGAATGTATGGTTGTCTTTCAAACTGTCTCCGCATGCTGTTGGACAATGAACAATGTGACATACTCACTGCTTCAGATATCAGTCTACAGGGCAACATCAGGTCCACCAAAACGATAGAGCTCTGTGATTGGCATAACACAAGACTGGTCGGGCCTGATGAGGCTCTAATGGAACGTGGCTAGATCAACATGCTGAGCAAAATCATTTTGCTTCTGCTGCTATGGTCTGTCTAGGCCAGTGGTTCTCAATCCTGGTCCTGGAGGGCCAATAGGTTTTAGTTTTAGTTGTTTATCTGCTTCAACACACACACACACACACCTGTGCTGCAGCTGATCAAGCTTTGCAGATGCCTGTTAATTACCTGCTGATTGAAATCAGGTGTGTTGCAACAGGGTTAAAACTAAAACATGCTGGATATCAGCCCTCCAAGACCAGGATGGAGAACCACTGGTTTAGGCTATCCCTCGCTTGCCTCCGAAGGCATAACAGTGACTGGTTTTGTCCCTTATTCTGCTTTGGTCTTTGTATGAATCGCACTGGGACAGAAAGAATAAGTCTAAGCTGAAACATGTTTTATAAAATGGACTTCTGTGCAGCATTGAAAAGACTAAATGTTGAGAAAAATTTTTTTTTCTGTTAGAAGTCAAACTTCATTACAAAATTGCCTCATTTACATTGAGTTACTGACTTTTTCAGAAATAAGAACATCTAGGTATTTCAAGCCTAGCAGACTTTTCTTCTGCAAATCAAAACTTCAGCATGTGTCTGGTTTAGAGTACTATCACTAATCTATTAGTGTCAATTAAATTTTCTTTCACAATGTTTTAAGGGCCGTGACCCCCTTTATGTGTTCTCTCAGCTGCTCACATCGGCGTTGGCATCAGCGGACAGGAGGGGATGCAGGCCGTTCTGGCGTCGGATTACTCCTTCGCTCAGTTCCAGTACCTGCGGAGGCTGCTGCTGGTTCACGGACGCTGGTCCTACTTCAGGATGTGTAACTTTTTAGGCTATTTCTTCTACAAAAACTTTGCCTTTACCCTGGTTCACTTCTGGTACGGCTTCTTCTGTGGTTTCTCAGCGCAGGTAAGAAGACAGAACTTGTTGTGGAACATGTTTGTTGAAAGTGCCAGTAGGTAGATAATGGGTTTTCTTTCCATAGGCCGTGTACGACCAGTGGTTTATCACCTTATTCAATATTATTTATACTTCCTTACCAGTACTGGCAATGGGACTTTTTGATCAGGTAACTAATACAGTTTTTGCAAACTTTGTTTGCAAATGGTTTCCTTTAATTCCTATCATAACATGGCTTTCTAATTATTAACAGAATATAACATGTTGTGTTTTTTATAGGACGTCAACGACCAGAACAGCCTTCGCTACCCAAGCCTTTACAAACCCGGCCAGCAGAACCTCCTCTTCAACAAACGGCAGTTTTTCCTCTGCACGCTGCAGGGGGTGACTACATCCTTCCTGCTCTTCTTCATTCCCTACGGAGCCTTCTCTGCTGTGGTAAAAGAAGATGGCTCCAACTTCTCAGACCAGCAAACATTTGCTGTCACCATAGCGACCACATTGGTTATCGTTGTAAGTGTTCAGGTGAGTTTCTTAATAAACAGATGTAGTGTCATAAATGAAAATGAGACTCTACGATTAATTGTGTGACGTTTTCTACTAACAGATTGGACTCGACACCCACTACTGGACAGCTGTCAATCATCTCTTTGTTTGGGGGAGTCTGATTGTGTATTTTGCCATTTTGTTTTCAATGCAAAGTTATGGCTTATTTGGGCTTTTTCCAAATAATTTCCCATTTATTGGTGAGTTTAGCTCAGTGGGACATTATTGATGGATGGAAATGATGCGTAAATAACTTTGGGTTTGTGTCTCGTCACAGGCGCAGCCTATAACTGTCTTTCAGAGAAGGGGGTGTGGTTGGTCATCCTCCTCACCACCACAGTGTGTGTTGTGCCCGGTTTAGTAGTTAGCTTTCTGAAAGTGGACCTCTTCTCAACTTTAACAGATAAGGTAAAGCAGCTGTGATGGACAGGAGTAGCTCTTCTCGTACAAAATGCCTAAATATTAGATTTTAATAATTAATAAGAAAATGGCCACTGTGGTTCACAGGTTCGCTATTTACAGCAGTCCAGGAAGAGGCACGGCCCGCAGGAGCAGAGCCTGAGGAGAGTACGCAGGACAAGCTCCAGGCGCTCCGGCTATGCCTTCTCCCACCAGCAGGGCTACGGAGAGCTGATCACCTCAGGCAAAAACATGAGAAGGAGCACAGTCTCGTCTGCTTGCTCCCTGGAAAAAACAACAAATGGCTCCAACTGGATAGGAAATGTGCTAAAGAGAAAGAATGAAGTTTCCTGCAGCTCCCAGGAATTCATAGCTGCACCAGAAGGCAACTCCAGTGCCACAAAGACTCCAAGGCAACAGCGAACAGACTGAACTGTTAAAGTTAATCAGTCAGAATAGAATCCCATATTTATGGATCTGATAGACCCAAGCACAAGCTACGAGTGTCCTTCATTTGAGTAACAATAAACTCAAATCGTCAACACAAATGTACCTCATTTTATATCAGTATGAACTGTGAATGTTATATCTGAGGGATCCAGTCCTAGTGTCTGCATACAAAAACAAACTATTTTTTATCTGTTCCACACAGAAGAAATCAAAAATAATTTCAGAAAGCACAAAGTATTGCGTTTAATACTATGGGGTGCCATTTGTAAAGTGGAACAGTCATAACTTAACGGCAGTATTTTGGATTATTTAGCCTGTCATAAGAAAAATAAATGGGAGTTAATTTTTCATATTTTCTCTGTTATTCATACATTTATAAATGTTAAAGATCCTAAATTAAATATTTAGCTTGCTAACTATTTAGAGTTAAATAATTATTTAATAAACTAAATATTTAGGTCAGACCTACATATTTTGTTAGAAAATAAATATTTAATTTGGAGCTAAATACTTAGTTTGTAAACTAAATATTTACTTTACTTTATAAAGTAAATATTTAGCTCCAAAATATTTAGTTTACAAAGTAAACATTTAGATCCCAGCTAAATATTTATTATGGGGCTATACCTAAATATTGAACTTGCAAAGTACATTTTTACCTTCAAAATAAATATTTAGCTGGGATCTAAATATTTATTTAGGAAAATATTTGATTTAGAGCCAAGTTTAATTTGTAAACAAAATATTTACCTCCAAATTAAATATTTAGTAAATAAAATACATTTTATTTACAAACTAAATATCCAGTTCTGACCTGAAAATTTGTTTGTTTGTAAAATAAATATTTAACTCCAAATTAAATGTTTAGCTTGCAAATTAAATATTTAGTTGGGAATTTTAACATTTATAACTGTATGAATAACATGGTGAGAACCTGATTTGAACCCCCATTTTTCTGTTATGAGGGGCTAAATAACCCAAAATACTGCTTTTTATATTTTACTCCATGACTTTACAAATGGAACCCCATATAATTCTACATTTAGCCTTGGTTTATGCCGTTGGTAAAACAAAAATGTTTGGTAGGTGTGAATCAGCCTCACTGTGCTTTGCCTTGTATGGCTTTGTTTGATTTCTGTTGAATGTATTTAAAAATGTAAAACTGGAATGCAAGGCTAAAACTCTCACTCAGACTTTTTAATGAACACATTAAAAACATTTATTATTCTGTTGGGGTGTAACCCCAGTTAAATCAGAACAAATTGTGTTTAAGTCATTGTTAAAATATCTTTTTTGGCTTTTAATAAATGTATTCTTCAATAAAGGATAACAGGATTTTATATATTGCCAATTGATTTATTATTTTTAGAAATGAATTTCCAAGACATTATAAATGAAAAATAGTTAAAAAAAATAACTACTTGATACAAAAATCAAATCACTGAGGTGTTTTTTGCCCTTAAATTCCCCCTGAAAAATAGAGGTTAACAAGTCATTTCCATCTCCTGAAATTTGCACATAAAAAAAGAAAAAAAAATCACTCAGTTGATTTTAAAGTATTTCAATATAAACAAACAAATGTGAGTTTCACTCCTCCATGAAAACTGCAGCTCCTCCACCAGGCTTTGATACAAACAAACTCTGTTTCTCCATCGCTGCTCTGCGTGGGTCAGGGATGTAGTAAGCATTCCTGACAGCTTGTAGAAAAGACTCCACCTTCTCACTGGGAACCATGGAGACGGCGCAGCCTCCCCAACCTGCACCTGTCAACCGAGAACCAACAGCCCCAGACTTCCTGCCAGCAGAACAAACAGAGTCAATATTCCAGCTGATCATCAACTTTCAGTAATATCAACCCTCATGAAAAATGTAGAGTGGGTGAATAAGCGAAGCACAGGATAGCATGAAAGATTATAAAAAGAAGAAAATGTAACCATCACGGCAGAAAGGGATGCAGCAAAAATGATTGATCACTTGGCTGCAGACAACTATGTCAAAAAGCTTAGAAAAGTAAAAACCTGGGCTAATCATACATCAAACAAATGAGTTCTGCACATTCTCTCTCTCTCTTAGAAAAGTAAAAACCTGGGCTAATCATACATCAATCAAATGAGTTCTGCTCTCTCTCTCTCTCTCTCTCTCTCTCTCTCTCTCTCTCTCTCTCTCTCTCTCTCTCTCTCTCTCTCTCTCTCTCTCTCTCTCTCTCTCTCTCTCTCTCTCTCTCTCTCTCTCTCTCTCTCTCTCTCTCTCTCTCTCTCTCTCTCGCTGAAATAGTAGAACTGCTAATGTTAGCATGCTCATCTAGGTACTATAGCATGCTAACTGTGCTATTTAGCACTTGAAGCTAATGTATGTACTGAGTGTTGGTGATTAAAAATGTTCTTATACATATAAAGGTTCAACCACACGGTGGCACTAGATGAAAATAAATTGATTTTGATTCAAACACATCACTTTCAAGAACTTTCGAGGGGAAATGTAAAGATTAAAACATATGTGCCCGAAATGAGTAATTTAATTCTTTTTTTCCCCTTGTAATAGAGAATGCTATTGCATAACTGTTATGGAAATTTTGTTTATTAATTCTTGATTATTATTGATAAACATATTGATAAAATCCATGACAATAACTATTTAGTTACATTTCCAAGCACAATAAAATTCAGGCATTTTAAAGGATTTCAAGCATGTGTAAGAACCCTGAATTTCTCTCTTTTGAAAACTAACTCCAAAATTAAATTAAAAGAAAATTAGCAGAGAAACTATTTTGACAGCTGAAAAAATAAATAATTCCATTATAAATAAATAAATAATATTATATATATATATATATATATATATATATATATATATATACACACATACGATTATGACTTTATATACATAAGAGGTGATGATTATTTCACTCGCTCATCTTGCAAATTAAACTCAAAGCTTCTTTTGGTTTATATTTTAAGAAATGTCAGAATCAGTGATATTTTATTTTACAAATAAAATTTTGATTGATCTAGCAGGACTCACAGACAAATGTCCACCAGTTGGTCCAGTTCAGGACAGCTGCACTCATACAGGTCTTTGCAGCTTGCATGGCTCTGATTCATCAGCGCTCCCAGGAGCTTTATGGACTCAGCAGACCCAGAATCACAAATGCTCTTAAACTTCATCACCCGTGCCGCTTCTCCATAAACATGCTTGGCCCGCTGGTGCAGCTTGAAGTGTGTGACTGTGAGAGAGGAGGAAAAGCTTTATCCACTTTTAAAAGAGATTCTGATGCAGCCATAAACAGTGGTAATCATTAAATAAATCCTAACCTGATAATCAAATGAGATATTAAATAGTATTTCTTAGATGAAAATATTTATAGCACCTCTCAAGATAAAAATCGTGAGGTGCTTTGTACTGAGTTTTAGTGAAAAGAGATCATTCTACTCAACTAGATTTGTTTTATTAAAATGCCAAAGAAAATTCAGGAAAATTGATCAATACAAAAATAAACAAAATCAAAGACAGAAATCAAAATGTATGACAGGGCTATTACTTTATAAATAAGGCTACAACCACAGGAGGAAAAACAAAAAGACGTGTATAGTCACTTACGGTGCTGTGTGTTAGCGCTCAGCAGCTCGGTGGAGAACTGCTCTGGGGTGACGCACAGCACCTTACAGACCTCCTCTCGGCTGTACGGCTCAGGATCCAACACTTCCTGCACCAGAGCCAGCATCTCCTCCAGGGAGGCCTTCAGCTCCGTCTGAACCTGAGCCAGCTTCGACAGCCCACTCGGGTCCAGATCTCTCGCCCGAGCAAGCATCTGGATTCACAAAGAAGTATAATGGAATTATGCTTGTTTAGACATTGTTAAGATTTAAGGCTGTTTTCTTATGTTAATGAGTAAGTTTACACCTACAGCAACCAACGGGGCAGGATTGCGTACCTTTGTGGCTATCCGACACTCCACCACACGGATGTTGTAGTGAGAAGAAGCAGCTTTGTTCATCTCAACGCAGCAGTTGGAAATCACAAACACAGCCCCCTCTGGGAGCTGGACATCAGTGGCCCTCAGAGGCTGGAACTCTATCAGCTTGGCCTGAGACACATTTGAGAATGTTAAAAGAGAGACAAAACAGCTAATCAAAGTATGCAAAATGCTATAAAGTGTTCGCAAACATAGCAGAGCTTTTGTGGTGATCAATGTATTGTTTTATGTGCTTCTAGAAATGTTTTGATGGGAACAAAGCTACATACAGTTCCTTTCTCTGCCAGGAATGATATGGACTGGTCCATTCCTCCACCCTCTGTCCCGATGTAGCGCTCACATTTAGCACATATCTCAGCTAGAGCCACCTGGAGAGGGGTTTTTATGAAAAAAATATGATAACCACCAAAAAAAATCTCCAAAAAGCAAATGTGCTTTTTTCAAAAACCCTTTGATGGCATGAAAGTTGTTTATTAGAGTGAGTTAAGTCATATTTTATAGTCTCAATTATTTACGTTTTGTCTCAAAGGGGACTGGGAGATCTGGTTCAAGTACCTTACCTTGGAAAGGGACTTCTGGTTGGCCTCCATGGTAACAAGACCAGAACAGCAGACTAAGGCACTTGAACTGGACAGACCCGAACTTGGAGGAATTGTTCCGTCTACAACACACGACATTCCTGCCAAACGAGTGATCCCAAACTTCTCCTGGAGGGAAAAATAAAACAGATATGTTCCTTTAATAGTGTACAATATTCACGTAAATGATATATTACACATCATTTATGCTGGCTATGCTATAACCAGCACATCTTACCTGGATACCTTTGACCCCACAGAGGAAGTAATAAAACCACTTTGGATTGTCTTTGTCAATGGTGATGTCCTCTGAGCAGGACACAATGAAATCCCTGCAAACCAACAGAAATGAGGCTTTCAGATTTTTTTTTTTTTTTTTTTTTTTGTAAATTCAAAAGGATTTTAAACCCCTGAAATACATTTGGAAAAGGAAAATAAAAGTATATCATAGGGCTGGGCGATATGGCCTAAAATTAATATCACGATATATTGAGGATGTCAGTAACGATAAATGATCGATACAGGTATGAGCAGAAACAAAAGTTGTCCACTAGATGGGGCTGTCACGTGTTACGCTGAGTCATTTTTACATGACTCAAGGTGGTACAGCTTCTTGAAGGGACATGAATGTTGTCAACCATCTTTTCTTTTTTTATTGTCAAATTTATTGACATGGGAAAAATTATCTTGATAAGAGTCAGAAATTTCGATAACGATAAATTTTCGATTTATTGCCCAGCCCTAGTTGCTAAAGGCTGGAATCTTACTGGTACTGAGGATTTGTGTTGGACAGGTGGATTTTCCCTGAGTTATTCAAAGACACAGCTGCCAGGATGCTCTGCTCAATAGCCATCGGCAGCACAGAATATCCACAGTAGTCAATGTGCTCACCTGGAAAAGGTGACAAACAGGACAGAGATGTTCGACTACAGGAATAACCCCTCCCTAAAAAACACGTGATCACTCATGTTTCTGTATATTTCAGTATATTTTGTGAACTAATAATAGAAAATTATTACAGATAAAACAATAGAATACACTATGTATAAAATATTCTTACACAATGATTAAAACTGAATTACCTATTAGATTGACCCTTCCAGGTGCATATGCATAGAAAAGGGGAGATTCTCCATACTTTGTTTCAAAAGCACTTTTTAAGTTTTTTAACCTGTAGATTATTAAAAATAAATAAATAAATAAGAAATGAATGAATCACACATATAATGCATCTGCTGCTCCACCCCTGGACAGTCAACCACTCCTGTTGTCACTCACCTTTCGTTCGAAGTGATTTCTATCTTCAGCTTTGGGGGGTTTGTAGACATGTTTACCTGTTCAGAAACAGCCTGATTTTAATAACTCTCGTCGTGAAACTGAGGAAAGCTCTGACACAACCTTGCTGCTATCAGCTGACTCTCACGTAGGAAACCCGGATGCGAAAACGATGAACTACGGGCAGTCAAAATTAGAAGCCTGGCAGCCTTTAAGTGGGTGTTTTTATCCAATGAACTGACTCTGGAAAGGGTAAACACGGAAGTCCTTTGAGAACAGAGTGGCAGGAGGGCAGTAACGCATAAGTAGGACCTGGCTGCAGACATCTGCTGGCGTGTCACAGGAAAGAACTTTCAAATGAGAACAAGATGGCGTGTCATTCTAGCCTAGTGAACTAGACCAAATTCTTGATTTGCAAGAATTGCAAATTCTTGCTTTGCATATATTCACATATATAGTCTGGCTTGCCAGGCTAGTGTCATTCATTACTTTTACCGGAAAATCGACGAGCGAAAGACATCTACAGGCATGGACATAATTTTCACTTTAGAAGTGGGGGGGACACGGGGGGGGGGGGGGGGGGGGGATCTTTACAGTATGCTCTAATGGGAAACAGGCTTCAACACAAACGGTTGTTTTCTGCTTGGTCCTAGAGCTCAACTAGTGTCAATTTAATATAGCGTAATATTGTTTTTGGATGGTAAAAAGTGCAGGGGTCAAAACTTGACTTTGGAAAAAGTGGGGGGGACATGTCCCCCCTGTCCCCCCCCCCAAAATTACGTCCATGTCTACAGGTGTACCATCAAATCACACTCCCCCATCAAATAAATGCTTCCCCTACAGCTGCGCTCCGCACTAGCGTCAAAAGCGCTGCTTGGCTCCACCCAGGCGGCAAAAAGAAAACCCGCGCTTAACGTTAGCTCGTTCAGTTCACTCCACTCACACACATTACTGGCACACTCTGCTCGTGCACGGGGAGACTACGGGAACCATGAAGGTTCAAAAAGCCTGATTCAGCGAATGTCTTTTGTGTATTCCTTCTGTGATACATTTATTAAATGACAGACGGACGGACAGACAGACAGACAGACAGATAGACAGATAGATACCATCTTTTCGTTCTTTTTTAAACACATAAAGGTTTTATTTACCTGCAACGTTTCGTTTGCGGCTGCAAACTTCGTCAGGCTGACGCTGATGTTGGCGTCACTTCCAGCAGAGGACGTTGTCGCCCTCTGCTGCCCGCTCTCCCCTCTCCGATGATGCAGTCCCATGCGCGATCCAACGAGTAAACTCCATCATCCCTGTTCATGGTCCCGCATCCACGTCTCCTTATCTCTAAAGCTTCCTTCATCCATCTTTTGTATTTCTGTTGTTCTGTGTTTATGATCCTCGTGTTGTCCCAGCAAGGGCGGAAATCCCATTTCAATTTTGGGGGGGGGGGGGGCAATAAACAGTAAAACTTCAGAGAGTAATTTTTGGGGGGGACATGAAAAAAAATGCTCTCAAAATACAACACTCAGGCAGAGGCGGTTTTACCATTAGGCATAGGTAGGCGGCCGCCTGGGGCCCCCTTGTGTTGGGGGGCCCCCTAGCCCTGACCGCCAGCACCCCTCTGTTAATGCCACAATACTCTTATTACCAACCTGCCGCAGACGGGATTGGACATGCGCACTTCTCATTACCATAATTCCTGAACCGTTCAAGATATCATTAAAATTCCAAAAGTGCTGAAAAGATTAAAAATGGGGCTATTCGTGCATATACAATACATTACGGTAGCCACCGAGATTCCCTGTCTTGAGCGCACCGAATCACAACAAAGATTCAGAGACATGCTGAGTTTGTCATCCAAAATGCTCCGTTTTATAACTTTTGAATGGCTGATCAGATCCAGGAAATTCCAACGGTTCCTAAAAGTACATAAAGTCAGCTTTCCAACGATCTATAGCATGAAGCAATCAGAGTTAGGGAAAATATCGCTACCAGGGGAAATCCTGCTGTACAGCCTGGTTGAAACGGAGCGCAGCGCCGCGGTGAAAGCGGATAACGGAACGGGGAGGCTAATCAGCATAAAAAGCCAGCATGAAATTATGGAAATGCCTCAAAGAAAATCAACACGATCTATTAGGTGTCCCAGAAGGCTGAAGACAGTGACCATGAAGAAGGACAGATCTCCAGTGAACCAGGATATGAACGTTTGTTCAGTCTTTATTTTTTATTTGAACAACCCTCAACTATTTGCTAATTGTAAGATTCAGCATCATTCCAGCATTATTTATCTTTTTACAATAAATAATTATTTTTGCTAAAACAAATGTTTTTGGTATAGCAGTGCACGGTGTGCCAGAGAAGCACCCCATGGCAGTGTGAGGTGTGACTCTGCCTGCAGCTGGAGAGAAGCTGCTTCAAGGTCTACCACATCAAATAAAAACGTCTGAAAGTTTACAAAAATAAAGTCTTAAAAACTGCTACAAGACACCAAGGTTCAAACTTTTTTAAGAATAGATGCATTTCAGTTCAAAGTTTAAATTGTTTGCCCAGTAATTTTGAAGTTCCTGTTCAGTAATAACTGTAAAAAATTCAAATCCGATTTTTGCTTTTTTCACTTTTAAGCTGATTTTTTAAAGGCTTTAATAGAAATACATTCTAAATAGAAGAAGAAAAAGAAGAAAATATCATTTCTATAGTGCCTCAAGATAAAATCATGAGGGGCTTCACAAAAACAAAAATATAAATATAAAAAAGCATTTAGAAAATGTTTAAAAATATATTTAAAATGAGCAAAAATAGGCAATTGGGATTTAAAAGAAAAAATGTTAAGAAAGAGAGAGAGTGAATAGGAAAGAGAGAAATCAGTGAGGAAGGTGGAATAGGTGGGGAGAGCAGAATAAAGAGAGAGTGGTGAAGAAGGTCATACAAAAGCCAGCCTGAACAAGTGAGTCTTCAGCTGCTTTTTAAAGGAGACCACTGAGTCCACTGATCTCAGGCTCAGGGGGAGAGCGGTCCAGAGTCTGGGGGCCACAGCAGCAGATGATCTGTCACCTTTGGTCTTTAGCCTGGTGCTGCACAGTAGGCTTTGATCACTGGACCTCAGGGACCTGCTGGGGGTGTAGGGACTAAGAAGATCACCAATGTAAGATGGTGCTTGTCCATGTAAGAACCTATAGACCAGAACCAGGATTAAGAAATGAACCCTAAAGTTGACTGGCAGCCAGTGAAGCTGGAGGAGAAGTGGCTTCACGTTTCTTTTCGTGAAATGTTGAAGTGGTTTGGAAATACAAACCATACACTGAAAGCTGAGGTTGTTCTGAAAAAAGGAGAGAGTTACACACACTTTGCACTTTTTATTACAATTTTACAGCCATAAGATAAAAAAAAAATACCAGACGGCCCTGTTATAATTATGGTCATAAGAGGGTTATTAAGACTGCGATGCACAAACAGGAAGTGATTGGTAGTCATTCCACTCCAATCCAGTTGGTGGCAGTAATGCACCAAATTGTAGTTTGCCAAGTGCCATAAGACCACAAATAAGAATAAGAAGAGAGGCGGGAGCATTCGTAACAAACTCAAAGCGATAGTCAAAACATTAAGCATGACATGAAGTTATCCTAGTGGCTCCAATAAGAGAAAGAAGCAGCTTGCTTCATAAAAGCTTTTATCTTCACTTCTGAAAGTGACGTTGTTTTTCGATGTAAACATCAAAAGGAAGCAGAAAGGAAAGACAATGGAAAGTGTTTAAAGGGAGGAAAACAGACCAAAATGGAAAATAGAAAAAAAATAACTAAGGCTAAAGCACAGGAGCGCTGACAGAAAAAAGAAAGCAGAGCAAATATTGAAAGCACTCAAAGGGAGGGAAATACAGGAAAAAAAGAGGAAGACTAATAAAAAGGGAAAATAACTCATGTCAGAAGAGGGGAGAGTTTCGCAAATCCAGTTAAAGGTAAGATTGTCGAAAATTTAGTGTAAGGGGCCCGATGTCTGTGTTCGCCTTGGGCCCCCAAATTGCTAAATCCGCCCCTGCACTCAGGGTTTCCCTTTCATAGGCGTAGCCGTGGCGGACTGCCACGGCTGAAATCCCACCGCCACGCCTACAAGATCCCAAGTTTTATTTATTTTTTGTTTTGCGCTGTTTCCCGAAGAAGCAGCGGGAACTACTATGTTGTCGCTTGTGATCACAGCCGCCAGGCAGCAAGGAGGAGCAGGCAGGGCAAGGTGAAGTTACAGCATAAGTTACTGAGTTTAAAATTAGAAAGGTAGCAGTGGATATAATGCTTTTTGGTTTACATGTTTCAATAGCGTTAAGATAAACGAGTGTTGACGATCTTGACAGGGTTTCCTCCAGTGCTTATTAGGCCAGGTTTTCCTCCCCCCACCAGGCTAAGCATCACTTATTCATGTAAAATTTATTTTTTTTTTCGTGTCTGACTTTAACCGCATCTAATACTGTATTACGGCGTGAGCGCAACAGCGACAACTTAAGATCGATGTGTGAGCAGCGTGAGAGGTCGGGTGTTTCATCTGAACCCTTAAAACCTCCAGCAGGCTACGTTGCACTATTGACGTTTTAGCGCGCGGCGCTAACAACTTAGCGACGTGACATGTCTCGGAGAAAGCATAAAAACACGTCGGACGCTTCTTCTGAAGCAGGAAAATAACACTTCTTCTTAAGCGGAGCACGACGTCGCCTCGGCTCGTTCACGGCCGAGCCGGACTGAGCTCGATAACATTGACCCAGCAGAGCCACACTGGGTCGTTGGAGCTGCCCCGTGACTGCCTGATGGAAAACCAGCGGGTTTCATCTGACTCGTGAAGTTTCTTGTTTTTGCTGGGGACCCCCTGTATTTTACCGCTCCCTCCTGCAGTCTTCCCCTATTAAAATTTAAAATGATTCTGTAAATTCCCTGTATCAATAAAAAAAATCTCTGCCTCTGCCAGCTGCAGTAAATGTAGTCTCCAATTAATAAATAAGAGGTGCATTTATCTGTGTATCTCCTTCGATCAGCATTAGTGATATTTTCAGCACCAGAACAGTGAAGCAAAGAAACTGATTCCTGAGTTTGTTAGTCATTTTATTTATTAGGTGCATCTAACCTGTTCTATTTTTCTCTGAAATGAGATCAAATCAGTGCTTCTATGGGTTGTTATTTAGAGACGTGTCATAATTCCCCATAATTGGACTTTGCCTAATGAAACCATTTAAAAACAATTTCATAGTTATTTCATTTCTTTCTTATAGATGCCTTTATCAAAATGCAAGTTTCTACTTACTTGACGTTCTGGAGCATTAAAAAATGACCTGATGTCTGCCGTTTTTCGTTTCTCTGCCATTTCAACTGTCCTGGTCTGCTGACAGTTGGAAGCAACACA